AAGAAAAAGAAAAAAGAAAATCTGAATCGGCTATGACCGGCGCATCACTAATTAAAATACTAAGTAAAATGCCTCAAATTTGAAGTACAATCTGGGATGTCTTTTTCAATCAATTCTTCAATAGGTAGATCTTGTCTTTCATCAAGGCCGAGGTCAGGGATCTTAGGCCTAAAAAGGTTGGTGACCACTGTAGTATGGTCTGCCGTAATCACGGGACATTTATCATATGTTTATCACATTTATTTAATCATAAAACCCTGAGTCACAAACTCCCTAATTAGAAACAGACAGTCATATTCATTTTGTTCATGTTCTCAAGAAGAGATGGAACAAAATACAGTATGACTGATCGGGTAGTTTGCCCCAGAGGAGCTCTGATCATGTAATGCTTCTCTTAATCATCTCACACAGGCGAAGCGTGAAATGTGTCAAGACAAATAAAAGACTAGCACAGAGGTGAACATTCGGAGAAGTGTTTCAACTCCACAGAACTGACTGCAATAATAGCTCAATCTTGCGCTGGTGAGAAAAGTGCATCAAGTTCCCAACCCAAACCACATCTAAATAAAACTACAGAACACCCAAAGGACATTGCTTTGCAGAGAAGAGAGGTCTTGGGAAGGGAGATGAGGCTTTGTACAGGACAGCATAAAAAACTAAGCAACTGCACTGTTTGCAAGGCCCTGCCATTCATTACGAAAAATATAAAGACATCTCTCCAAGCGCCAGAGACCCCCTGCTGCCAAACAAGCAGTTTTCATGCTGGAACTACAGTTCCTACTCAAACCTTTTCATTGTGAGGGTCAGGATGACTTCTTCAGCATTAAAGAACGCAAAGTCAACAAGGCTTTTTCAAGAAATAAGACATCAGAAGGGCTAGTTGGACCCAACCTGGTCACTCCTGCAACAGTGCAACACTACATTTACCAACTGTCCCAGGATTTTTGGAGATTTTTTGGTCCTTGTGTACTGTTCCTCTGCTGAAAAAGCAAAACATATTCTGCCAAAATCTCAAAAGCTTTACTATCTCAGCTAAAATGCATCAGTCTTGACCTGCTACAGATGGTCAAGGATTTGACTTCCTTCAAAACACTGTCCAAAAACCCACATACAAAGAATCTTTCTAAAAGAATTCTGATCAGAAGTACAATGAGAGTAATTGATGTTGACAGAATTAATTCAGAAAAGTACTCAAAAATAATACAGATGAAAATGAATTCTACCAACATCAATTATTCTCTCATTTTGGCTGCATCTGCCACTAGAAAGACCAGCTGCAGATCATCATTACGACCACAAAGAGGACCATTAACTATCACATGCCATCCATGAATGACATTTGTATCCAGGACAAGCAGGAGGGGTTGATCACTACCTCCTTTCACACCAAATCTGTGACCCTGGACCACAAAACCAGCCATAAGGGTCAATTTTTCGAAATGGAGTTTGATACATCATCTGAAAGCTGAATAAATAATCTTTCCATTGATGTATGGTTTGTTATGATAGGACAATATTTGGCCGATACACAACTATTTGAAAATCTGGAATCTGAGGTTTTTTTGGCTATTGCTACAAATATACCCCAGCGACTTAAGACTGGTTTTGTGGTCCAGGGTCACATCTCTCTCTTCTCCCAGATCTCTCTTATGAGAAACAGTTAGAGTTAATCAAGACAAACTACCTGAAAATGTAGTGTGTATGTATGTAATTTTTCCCTCGGTCCACTTATATGGTGGTAAAGTTTTTTGCACTAAAATTTAGAACATACCACATTTTAGTTTTCGGTTTTCCACTCTCTCTCTCTCTCTCTCTCTCTCACACTGATCCTTAGAATTAAAACAGGCCATTGTTTGCTGTTCTGTATTTAAAGCTGCATTCCGTAACTTTTTTTGGTTAAAAATTACTCAAAATCAATTATTGAGCAAGTACATAATCAATGTTCAAGACTATCTCCATATCTTAGCCCGATTCACAACGGTCCCACACAAGGAGTCCCAGCTAGTAGGCTATAACACGTGTGTAGATGCTGCAGGTGGCGGATCATTTGTAGCCTTTTCTTACAGCAGCTGGAATGATTAAACTTGTCATTTTAGAATGAGTTCTAAGGAACATTAAATAGATTTTTGAGGTTAAAAGAACAATTTATTTTGATGACATTTGAATGGTATGACAACTAGAGATTAAACTGTACAGAAATTGAAATCCACAGATAACGCTAATAGAGAGGTAGTGTGTATGAAGATGACTGAAGAAGGGAAGCTCACGCTCATCACAAATCTTAAATCTTGTTACCTTTGTGTGTGAGAAAAATAGTGTGTTCGGTGTTAGAAAGAGACTAAAGTTAATTTAATTGGGTCATAAATGAGCATTAACCAATAACAAAGGCAGATTTTCAACACGCTCCACGCGCACAAACACATAAATCAAAAATATTCTCCAATGCAATAGTAAATGTGTAACATATCCAGGAGTCTGTGCTAAACACGGAGGAGCATGCAGTCTTATTTTAAAATGGGACTGAATAGAAATTTCAAAAGGATGCTTTTGTAATATTCTTTGAATGACGCACATTCGCAAGATTAAAGACAATAATCAGCAGTCTGTTAGCATCAGCTCATCTCGGCTGAGTGGCCCTCATTTGCATATCTAACAATTACAGAGGATAGTCCCTAAAAAAACGATAACCCGCAACTTTGATTTTTGGGTCACAGTACGTTCTCTGCCTGCGAGGCTTGTGATATTTATCAGTGAAAGATTTACCTGGAAACTCTTTCAGAGCACCTACGGAGGAATTCTGTGTAATTACTTGCACGCACACACACACTCACACCACCCAGAGCGCTTTGAGAAAAGGTCACTTCTGATTTGCAATTATAGTTTCAACATCCAAGCGACCCTCCGATGGTTTTTCAAATGGGACAGTGGTGTTCAAAGACAGGGCACACACATACATGCAGCTTTATCATTCACAATCATATTTAATACAATGTAAAATATAGAAATACTGATTAGAAAGTACATGAAGGAAATATAAACTAACAATAAAATGAAAATTAAAAATAGGTAAGCAACGATATTAGAATTATTGCTAATAGAAATGGTAGATCTCGAAATTCTATATTCTTCAATTGCCTAAATAAATATTTGGTAACACTTTATTTTAACAACCAATTCTCACTATTAACTAGTTGCTTATTAGCATGCATATTACTAGCATACTGGTTGTTTATTAGTACTTATAAAGTTTATAAGTGCATATTAATGCCTTATTCTGCATGGCCATATTTTTGATTCCTTAATCCGACCCCATACCTAAACTTAACAGCTACCTTATTAATAAGCAGCACATTAGGAGTTTGTTCAGGGAAAACTCTTAATTAATAGTGAATGTGTGTTCCCTATTCAAAAGTGTTCATTTTTTTATAACTACTGTTATTCAATTATTGGGTTTTAAAGATCAACATTTCATAAGTGTAGATGACAGCAAATGTACTTTAAATGTGAAAATAGGGAAAATAAGCATTCACAATTAAAATCATTTATTTTTAATAATTTATTAAAATCATATATACAACAACTCTAATAACAGCCAATAACCATTGTGCATTTGTATATTGGTTACATTTCTGCACCACCAAAGGAATGACTTAAAGTGTAACAATCAACTTGACATCTAACTAGTCCCATATGAAGAAAAAAAAATTCTATCAGATAACTACTGCAGACCCGTGTATATTCTGCTATATATCTCATATTCACTGTAGGTTACATACTATGAAAGTGGCCTATTTCAGACAAAAATAAATAAAATCACAATAATAATACATGAAATGAATAAAATATAAATGATACATTCTAAAAATAAAATAAACATATGCATATTCAAGCTCCATAACCATTATGCCACCCCAGGCTAATAAGGCACTTGTTAAGAACACTACTTGAAGAATTGGATCAGAATCATAAAAATATATCATCAGGTGCAAGCGTTGGATTAAGTGGTCTGTTTGCTGGGTTATGCTTACCCTAAATTAGCCCTCTATGTCTGGTTACCATGGAGATCATAAGTAAAAGTCATGCTTTAAGTTAAAGGGCATTCAAGACTGGGATAGGAAGTGATGTGCATGTACGCATATGAACGCGTGTTTGATTGTTGTGTGAAAGAGAGGAAAAAGTATTAGCACTTTTTATTGGATGAGAGTACTTCACTAAGCCAGATGGTGAAGAGGGTCCTTTAAAGGACACTCACATTAGCCCTTATAAACACCTCTGCATGGTTTAAATTGGCCTCTTGAAACCTTTCAAAACCAAACTGCTTCAGTCTCTGTGGGGGCTGTAAAATCAAGGATCTTATTCCAGCACTTTTTCTTCTTTTTAACAAATCTGACCACAATGTAATAAATCAATTAATTAACTGGTGACAACCAACAAATTGGTTTAAAATTAGATTAACAGCACATTAAGTTTTACTAATTGAACACTGGTTTATATTAGACTATTTCAAAACCACTAGACTTGCACATGTTTTCCGAAACAATTTATAAAAAAAAATGCTACCAGAAAGACCAAATAATTGGCCAATATATATCTGCCCATTTTGAGGTTATGGATTGCTAATCAACAGGAGCTGGATGCAGTACTGTAGTTTCCAACAGTAGTTGAGACCTAAAGGAGCACTACCTTACACACTATCAAATATTTATGTGCTGCACCATTAAACTTAGTAGAAAAGTAACTGTATGTCCAAACGAAATACTAACTAAGTATATGGAAAGCCACTGACCAGAAGGAACGGCTGAAATAGAAAAGCAGATTCACTGAAATGCATCAATAAGCTCACATTCTACCTAAAAAATTCAATGCTTCGATATATTTAGATAAATTACTTTTAGTGGCTTTTCAACATGCATCTAAGCAAAGGACATCCATGTGCATAACAAAATAAAATTAAAAAATAAATTTCTCATGTTTTTTGTATCAGTACTAATTTACTGCTCCTTATTTCAAACATATACATTGATACATATACATATTTCAACAATAGTTATTTCATGATTAAGTATACACTGTAAAACCCAAAAGCTAAGGTCCCTCCAACCATTTAAGAAACCCAATTGGTTCACACCATGAGAATATTTCTTAATACTAACTTATAAATCCACTTAAATAGTTTGTGTAGCTGAAATGTAACTAAATTGCATAAAACCAACAAAATGCTCACAAGATATCAGTAACCGCAGTTAAAAAACAAACAATGATAAAAAACAAAAGACAGAGACCAACTTATAGTGGAATTGTCCAAAAGCAGCCTAACGGATGGATCCGTCCAGCCTGACTGACAGCATTCAGAGATGCTGATGTGACATTAATGGGATGGTTCAAAGCTGTGTAGAGCAGCAAGAGGCAGGGAAAGTCAATGAAATTCCACAGGTAACAAGGGAAATGCTACAGCACTGACCTCTCTGCGCCGTGACGCCCAGCAGCTCTGTTTTATCTTCCATACGACTGCTGCCACCAGAAGCAAGGACAGGAAACAGCTACACACACACACAAGACAAAACGGGAAATGGAAGAGGACATTCAGTAATGTTTTTGGATGTTCTTTTATGGAAAACAATGAAACGACCATGTTCCAACGAGCCATGCCAAGATCACATCTCAAGCACACATGGGGCTGTTCATGTTTAATGAATTAGAGGTAGTTTCACAGGTGTGCTAAAGATCAGGAGTGGTGGTATCCTCATGGAAACGGGGCCAAAGCTCATGAACGCGCCTCTCATGTATAGGAAAACTGGGCTGTATGTGAGGAAATCATAAATGTGTAGGTGCATGTTTATACCTTATAAGTGCAGGTGTGTGCAGAGCTGAAATACATTCGCTCTGGGTTTTGGGAATAGCTCACCCACACACACGCGCACACACACACCAAGGCCATGAAGAGTTGGTGCAATTTATCATGGCTGAGCTGACATAACTAATGATGAGGAACCATGGCTGACCACAGCCACAGTTGGTATGTTACGTGTGTGTACATGCAGTGTATGAATCATATGCGTCTTCATACATGATGCATGACCACATCTGAGAGATTATCATATTTTAATCACACTTTTGCTGTTAGGGAACCAGTAAGAAGTATAACAAGCGGCATGGCAGAATGTGTGTATGTGACAGAAACATGGGGTGAATTTGCAATATATGGTCTACACCACCTGCTTCCTGAATCAATAACATATTACAGCAAGTCCTCCAGAGGTGAATTAATGCTTAGAGCCACAATCACACCCCGAACACACTAGAACCCAATGAGTTCCATTAAAAAAAAATGTACAAAATTTAGATTCAAATAGGTATGTGAGAAGAATATCTGTGGCGTTAGAAGTTCAAAGATCATCAAAGACTTGAGTAATTCATATGCTTGCTTATAACACAAGCAAAGTGCCTTACCTGAAGAACGTGACAAAGAACTGAACCAAATCCATGAAGTTACTGTGTTGAGAGAAAGCGATCTGAGGAGAAGAGAAATGGGTGTTAAATAGGGAGAAAAACATTCATTCACATGCTTCTGTGTACATGCGTTTTTTGTTGTCTAAATAGGACATGAGAGCAAATGTTTCGTTTCTGACTGTACCAATACTGCCCCCTGCTGCTATACGTCTCTCTCTCTCTTTCTCTCCCCACACATGATCAAGAGAAAAGAGCATCTCTACAGTTTCAGACTCTCCATTCTAATTCAAATACGTAATCATATTATTTTGGCACGACTATGTTATTATGACGGACCTCCAATAACAGCGAGAGAGTAAGGGTTGACAAAGAGCAATGGCTTTCCACACTAGTATTAACCCTGAGCTAGTGTATTTATTAAGGCCAGGTAAAGAAGTTAAGCAATGTTTCCAACCTATAATTTTGAAAAGAGCAGCACTTTTAATTCTAGGTTACTCATGCCTGTTCCACAACAGGATTGATATTTTATGCTAAAGTCCTACTGCAGTACCAAAGGTATAGAGCAGGGGAATTTGGAATTTTAATTTATTTATTATTATTATTATGTATTATTTTTATTATTATGTTTATCTATGGCTTCAGAAGTTCAAAGTAATTCATGTGGTTACTGTTAAATAAATAATACAATTAAAATTCTTTAAACATTTAAATAAACATGTTATTTAACAACAGGCAATATCATTGCTTACTTCATTAGATATTAATACAACACTTGTACAACTTTCACACATTGTGTTTAGTGTCTAATGGAGGAAAAAAAGACTTGAAAAGTGATGGCAAATGCTCCTCCGCATTTTCATTCAGTTTTTTCTTCCTAGTATTTTTCAGAATATATAAGGCAACCAGAGAAGATTTACATGTCAACGTTTACCCAGATGGTCAAGCTGTTATTAAAACTGGCCACACGCTCACTACGAGCTACGATGTCCAATCAGTGTTATTAACCTTGTAAATATGCAAATGAGAATGTTAACCCAGGATTCGCAAACGTACAGCATGAAATAAGAAAACCTGATAAGTCAGAATTAATTACTAACCCAGTGTGTGAAACATGAAACAAGCCCACAATTATGTTAAAAGAGAGTTTAAAATGACCCTTTCCTTTCATACCACTGAAATGAGCAGTGCAATGGCTTTATATCATTCCTGGCTCTCGGTTTATGGATGCAGTCTTAAAGCGGTCTACCATAAGGAGGGCAGAGTCTAGGGGACACACCAGAGAAGTTTCCACTTTAAAACAGTCATTTTCTCTCCATCTTTTACCTGCTTTCAAACAAGCTCACTCTTCCCTCTCTATTCCTCCAGGCATTTCCAAAATAAGCACAGGATTTTCAGCAAGGGAGAGGGAGAGAACAGGGTAAAAGAGAGCATGCCAGACGTCCACAGCATGGAGGGTGAATTCACACAGAGCTCTCATTGAGCAGATGCTGTGCGCTGATACGACCTCTCTCACACGCCACAACCTCCTCATATTCAGACGCACAGTCTCAAAGACAAACGGGGCCTGACTCACAGCACTGATACCCACACACATTCAACATGAAACAATAGCAATCCCACTTATCACTGTCATTCACACATGACAACCTGTGTCTCACACGACATTCATGTGGGGTGTGTGATGTAAACACTATACATAGCTTGTTAGTCATGTTTTAAGAGATAATGATGTGGCTTACCCAATCTAAACAAGAGAGAACATTCTGGTCCACCTGCCAAGGTTAGCTAACTAATGTAAATGAAGTCGGTTTTATTTTGTGTGATCCGTGGAGGAGGATTAAACCTAATAAAACGAATGTTCAGCAATCATCACTGACAGAACATAAGCCTGTAGAATCAGACATTTGTTAATAAACTTTGCTAAAAACTCTTACAAGATGAACGGAGGAGTGTGTCATTTCTGACCCACTATGAAACGCACAAATCCAAACGTGGATTCTGAAGTTTGAGGTCTCAAACACTTTTTACATTCTGCCCCCATCTGCCATTGTTTGCACAAACAGCCAGTCCCACCCCAAACTCGTGCCATTGGCTGAGGCAGAAGTTGACATGTCGCACTGCTCAAACAAACAGAGCAATGTTTTGACAGCGTGACACAGCTCTGGTGTTTACACTCCTCATGAAGTCGACCTATGAATATAAGACTTGTCTCTGAACATTAAAACTGGGCTAAAAAGAATGAGTCCAGTGTATTTTAAAGCATGTCATTTTTTTAAGCAGCCGAATCTCACAAAAACCTGTCAAAAATGTGTCTAAACCTGCCTTTCCACTCTCTCCGACAAATGACAGAGCTGTGTAGAGTTTATTAGTGTATACAGAATTTTTAGATGTGATCTGAGCTTCGAGTGTGCAGAAATATGTAAACTTCTGCAGCTAGACTGTATGCAAACACTGACCGGGCGTGATGAACTCTAATCAAAACTATGACCGGGAGGTCAAATTACCAACATATTAGCACTAAAACATTATTTATAAATACTACTTTTGTAAAATGGACGGTTATGAATTGTCCATAATAACGGTATTATAATTATGTTGATTAGCACTACAAAACCTACTATTGTTTTTTTTTTTTAAATCATTATTTCAGATCTAAAGGCGGTTATTTGTTTGTTTGTGTGGATATTCACACATTCATTTCTCATTCATTTTACTATGGCGAAAAAGCAGTGGGTAACAGGCTACTTCCAGGGTGCAAAATTTGACAATCGCATGAATGTTGGAAAGGTAGCTTTAATCATCTTTCACCCCAATGACAATGAAGCCCAAAAAAAATAATGTGAATAAATAATTATATTACTTCAACTGTATTTAGACACAGTGGTAGCGTTTGTTGTTGTTTACATTAATTTGAATTTACACCAATTGAAAACATTTAAAAATGCAAACACAAAGGAAAATGTCTGGACCCTTTTTGGTATTATTAAGAATTTGAAGTTAAATGAACTTCACTATTATGTGATTCATAAGAAAGAAGTCTTTATGCAAAATGAAAAAAAAATTGATTTTGGGTTGAAATGTGACCTGTAAATGTTTTTGAGGGATTCACTCAAATTCTGCTTTTAAATAACATGCATACAGAAACTCGTCACATGAATGCTCCTACTATATTCTTGTTTAGATTCACACGCATACACGCTTCCATTCCATTGGCCAAAAACTACACGGGCTGCACAGAATCTTTGACCAAAGGCAAAAAGAAAACAAGAGGCAGAAACAGAAGGCTGGAACAGTGCCTCTTCTGAACTTTCTGATCTCTCTTATTCCTCTCAGTCTCTCTCTCAAAGAGCCATGTGTTTCAACTTAACATTCCATCTGACACTCTCAGTCTCAGCCTGCCATCTTTACAGAGCAGGTTTCAAGCGCTGCGTTTTTCTCCAGCCCAAACCCTCTCGTTGTTCTCCTCTTAACGCCTGACAACAGCCACTCTGTCCTCCAGAGTTACCACGGCGCGACCCCTCTCGCCCACATTCGCGCTCGGATCTGCACATACAACCTCTGTTAGATGAAACGTGGCATCCAAAGGCCAGTTAGAGAAGCGAAAGGCGAACGAGAGCGACAATAAGGCGTTACCTGTGAGAAATTCACCCTTTCTCCATGAGCTGAGGAGAGAACGTGCTCTAGAATAGTGGACGGAAAATCAAACCCAAACTCTGAGTTTCAGCGTCCTAGCACATGAGGCTAAGTTAGATTACTTTCCACAGCAAAGGAAGAGAGGAGGGGGAAAAGAAAAGAGGAGGAAAGGAGAAGAGGGGGGGGGGGGGGGGGCCC